AAAATCTACTTTCTTATCAGCAACAACAGCAGAACTCTGAAAAATGTTCACTGTAGGATTCTGCTTGTAGAATTCTTCCATAAAACAAATAGACACCTAAGTGAGGCTGCTGTCCCAATTAAATTTGCTCCATTCCACCCCTTCCTGGAAGTCTTTGTGGATTTCCGTTTCCAGATAATGCTGCTAAAACTATGGCTTGGATTGGCTTGGGGGTTCCACTTTTCCGATGTCTTAGCAATAGTTTTTAATGAGGATAACTCATGTTTGCATTTCTTACCATCTCAGTGGCTGGGTTGTGCTACCACATTTGACATCCTACAAGGCAGTGGAATTGCACACAATGAAGGATCGTTCCAAATTCAGCATCCAACACAACTATCAAATTTACTGTTGGACGTTCGTAGAAGTAGAAAAACGGTCTGTAAATATCTGAGCAAAGCGCCTATTAAAGAAAAAAGTGGCTTTGCTAAGATCACTAGTGCCATTCATGTTGCTAGGTCCAATGGACCTAGATTCAGTCCTCATCTGCCCTTTCAGTTAACTGCCTCCACCTTAGAGACTTGTATGGCCAGTCTTGACATTACCTTGTCTTGGTTTTCCACCAACCTCACTGTCAACTCCTCGGTCCCGTTTGTCAGCTCCCCCTGTGCTTACCAGCTCCTAAATGTTGGGATTCCTTTATCTAGCACTATACATTTACCATACACAACCTCATTCATTCCCATGGCTTTAAATACCATTTCTGTATTTCTGTACACACCATCAAAATTTGTATTTTTCGTTCCATACATACAGCTGTCTGCCTTGGAAACCGGTAGGTTCAAAAGCTGAGCTCCCGTACTCACTCTTTTCCCCAGGGAGCCTCCGTGCATCCAGCCTCTTCTTCCTCACTTCCCACTTCCAAACCATCACTGTGTCCTGCCAGACTTCACCTGGACTCTGTCCCCTTCTCCTCACCTCGACACCCTCGCCACTATCTCACTTGGACAACCATGTCACTGCAAAAGCTATCAATGTCACGTCCTCTGAGAAGCCTTCCTTAAAAATCAAGTTTTGTTTATATCTTCTTTTCTGTCTCTCTAAACATTTCAATTTTCTTCATGGCACATCACAGTTTGTATCTTATGTAATTACTGTCTGATGTTCTATTTTGCCCAGTAGACAGACAGTAAACACTATGAAGGCAGTGGCTCTTTGGTTCACCACTCTATCCCTAGCACCAAGCACAGTGCCAGGCTCGATGAACAAATGGATGATTTGTGTATTTTTTCCCTCCCAAAGAATTATGTTCTGTAAACAATAAAAGGCATCACCTTATTGGCTTACGTTCCACTCAATGATTTTTTAAAAAATTCTAGGCCCAATATTCCCTACAAATACATTATATCTGTTTAGTATTTTTCTGATTTAGAAAATATTTCTTCCTCACAAAGAAGATGCTTTTTTCCCCTTTGAATATCCCTTTGTGACTATTAAGGAAATTACTCTAGTTGGTCATTAGAGATCATTAGAGATTGAAGTACAGGAGAATGTTCAGAACATACATAATGGAAACAGCTAGTCACTATATGGCCAGACACAAATGATTTTAATTTCATCTAACATTATCTGAGACAATACTGTTGTTTCCAAATACTAGATATTTCAGTCAGAATGGCAAACTGATACA